TTATTAGATGATGAGCTTTCGTGGGCCAGACCCACTTCCTCAGATCAAATAGTGGAAGAAAGTAGTCACAACCATATATACCAAAGGATACAATTAAAAAAATGAACAAATATGAAAAGGACAAATCACATTGCAGAACAGAAGGGGGATGCGGGGGGGTGGGAAGGGGGAGGAAGGAAGGTAAGTGTCTGTGAATTGCTGATATTAAAGGTAGGGAGAGTGGGATGTTTGTGAGTTAATGGTATTACAGGTGATAATTGGGGAAACTGTCTTGGTAATGGGTGAGAAAGTTCAAAGACTTGTTAAGTCCTTGTTGGTAAGTGTCGAATTTTAACATGAATGACAGTTCAGAGGATTCCCTTTCAAGTGCAGATGTAAAAGGTCTTTGTAGCAGAATGCAGGTGGCTAAGTCATTTAGAGAGTGTCCTTTCTGGTTAAAGTGGCAAGAAACTGTTTTCTCTTTGTGATCTTGTCTGATATCTGTTTTGTGGGCATTAATCCTTTGGCGAAGTGTCTGAGATGTTTGTCCAATGTACATAGCAGACGTACATAGGAGCTATTCAGACACTATATAAAGAGAAGGAGCACATGTGAGACTCTCTCTTTTTCCTTCCACTGATCCTGAGAGGCTCCCCTCCAGTGTCTTTCCTCCTGACCAGCTTCCCCAGACATGATGAGCAGACAGACCCTCCAGGATCCACATGCCTAGGCTCCTTGCTTCACCCATATGTCTGTGTAAGTGTGTGAGTGCTTGAGGGCAGGAATGAATGGATGTGAATGAGTGAATGAATGGAGGGGTGTATGCTTGCTTGCTTGTCTGTGTGTGTGTGAAAGAGAGAGAGAGTTCTATCTTCTTTAGTTTAAACGTTTGGTAGCTGCTTTCTCCTCTTTTTACCTAGTGGAAATAAACCCATAGTACTGTAACCCTGGGTGGTCTCCAGTGAGAATATTTTTGGGGTAACATAGACCACCTTGACTTAACCAGGAAATCTTACATGACCTAAAAATCAAAAGGAGTCTCGTAAAAAGTGGAAACTAGGCCAAATTACAAAAGATGAATGTAAACAAATAACACAAGTTCACAGGGGCAAGATTAGAAAGGTAAATGCACAAAATGAGTTCAAAGTAGCTAAAGACATAAAGGGTAACAAGAAGACATTCTACAAATATATTAGAAGCAAGAGAAAGACCAAGGACAGGGTAGGCCCATTGCTCAGTGAAGAGGTAGAAATGATAACAGGAAATTTGGAAATGGCAGAGGTGCTTAATGACTTCTTTCAGTTTTTGTCAAGATGGATAGTAATGGGATGCCTAACATAGTGAATGTCAGTTATTGGATTTTAAAGTGAGCAGACAGATCACTGTTGCACCCCTGGGTGATGTTTGTCCCAAATTCTGTACAGAGTGGGCCATGTGAGGTGTCAAATGAAAGCTTATGCTCCACTGATTCTATGTATGCTACTCATGTATTTGTTTTATTTTTGTATGTGAAGTTATGAATATGGGCTCTGTTACTGTAAATGTGAAGTTATGAATATGGGCTCTGTTCTGGTACTGTAAATGTTTTCTGTCTGGGATGGAGCAATGGGACTGCCTATTGTGAGGAATGATTGTTCAGTGAATGGCTGTGCTAACTAGCACTGTTTCATGGACAATGGCTCTCAGGGTGGCCAATACACACCTGAGGAATGCATCTGAAAGTCTGCAACCCAGCCAGTGCCTCATGACTACTTGCATGTGAAACACAAACAGGTCACTAGTTCATGTGACCGACTCCAATTTAGGAGACACAAGGAATATAAAAATCCCATGAGGGCGTCTCCATCTTGTCTTCAATCTTACTCCTGATTCCAGATGCATCCTTGCTAGGGTCAGAGCCGGGAAGGATTACTGATCTGTCCTAATACTGATGTACACCAGAGACTTTTAAGCTAGCAGTTTGTAACATCTCTGCCAAGAGCCTGCATCAAGAACTTGGTGATTGATGTAGTAATGTATTCTCCTTAACAATCTTACTCTCAACCTTTTCTTTCCTTTATTAATAAACCTTTATAGAATCTTAGACTACTAGGACTGGAAGGGACCTCGAGAGGTCATCGCATGTCTGTGCCCTCGGATGGACCCGGCCTCCCCTCTCCACTGCTCCCATGCTGTGGCCCTGCAGGAGAGCTTCCACTCCAAGGAGCCCGCAGAGCCACCCCAGTCCTCCCCATCAGGGACTTGTGCCCCATTCCTCCCTCACCCCCTTCCACTTACCCCTCTCTAGCCCCCCTTACTGATGTATAAAATAAAGGACACGTGTGTTCAAATAAAGAAACTCTCTTTATTTAACAAAACTGGAGGTGCGGGGAGAATGAAACTCTGGTCAGACTGGGAAAAGGAGGTGGGAGAGGGGAAGAGAAAGGGTGGGAGAGGGGAGGGGGAAACCTGGGAGCGGGGAACTGTAAGGGGGAAGCAAGTGGAAGAAGGGGAAGGGGAAGGGGAAGCTCAGGACTTAGGGTTGGAGGAATCGCTGGACCAACTTGATTTTCATGTGAACCTGCTCCTGGATTTGCATGTGACCTTTGGTGGCCAGGAGATCATGGATGTTGGGGGCATCCCCCCAAACCTGAATAAGGTTTATGATCTCCGCCCTGGACCAGGAAGGCGCCCACCTTCTCCGGACCCTGGCAGGCTCCTGGGAGCTGGCAGACTGCTCATAGGGAGCGGTGGAGGGCTGGCTGCCAGTGGCTTGCTGGCTCATGTTTTGGGGCCACTGGGTCAGGGGCAGTGTCTGCTGGCTCTGGGCTGGCAGGCTTGGAGCTGGCACAGGCACTGTGTCCAGAGTCTACCCCTTTAAGGGCTCTGGGGAGGGAGGAAGGGAGGGAGGGAGAGAGGGAGTGGAGTGGAGTGTTCTTGGTTGAGGCTGGAGTTGCCACCAGGGCACCCTGGGAAGGCTGGCGGCCCCCTATTTAGAAATAAGTGTCTACACAGCACTTATTTAAAAATAGCTATTTTGAATTTGGCGTTATTCCTCGTGGAATGAGGTTTACCAAATTTGAAATAAGCACTCCGCTATTTCAAATTAATTTTAAAATAGCGGTTTGGCTGTGTAGATGCTAATAAAGTTATTTCGAAATAACTTTGCTATGTAGACATACCCTTAGAGACTAACAAATATATTAGGTCATGAACTTTCATGGGTAAATCCCACTTCATCAGATGAGTTGGAGTGGAAATTACAGCATCCAGGGTATATATAACAGCACAGTATATATAACACTGTAGGACCAGGGTTAATGAAGCTAATTAAGTCATGCTGGATGCATCTCATTCATAGCATGTGATTTGGAAATGTGAATATCAAAGTCCAGAAAGTTGCCTTTGTAGTGTGTTAACCAGTTAAAATCTTTATTCAAGCCTATGTTCATAGTTGATAGTTTTTGCTGTTATTCTGTAATTTCCACTTATTCTGTAATTTCCACTCCAACTCATCTGATTAAGTGGGTTTTACCCACAAATTCTAATGACCAAGTAAATGTGTTAGTTTCTAAGATGTCCTGGAAAGGGCTGGAGGCCCCCTATTGCAAAATAGGTGTCTACACAGCACTTATTTCAAAATAGCAATTTTGAAATTGGCATTATTCCTCATGGAATGAGGTTTACCAATTTCGAAATAAGCCCTCCGCTATTTCAATTTAATTTCGAAATAGCGGTTGGCTTGTGTAGACGCTAGGAAAGTTATGTTGAAATAACAACTCTTATTTCAAAATAACTTTGATGTGTAGACATACCCTATGTCTCTTTGACTTTTCTCATTCATATGCTTGAAGCTAAGTATGTGATCAAATGTTTCCTGGATAGGGATGTTTTGTTGAACTCAAATGCTAACCCCAAAATATTTTTAGTATATTACTATTTATGCAATTATGTACATATACTAAAATCTATACTTGTTGCACATTATAAGTAAATGTTGTAGTGAGAACTCTAACTTTTGCATTTCTTGGGATTTTAACTGTGGACCCTTAACACTGATTTAATGTAGGTATATTACATTTAATATTGTCCATACCTGGAAATTCTGTAAAACACTTTGAAACTTGCAAAAGATGCAAAATAAATTAAGAAATAATAATTGAGTTCAACTCTCCTTTTTCACACATTCCTACAAAAAGGAAACCTAATACAATAAAATAGTGTGCAATATTTTCACAATATAGCAATAGAGAACACTGAAACTGAAGGAGTCCTTTGGACAAGGAGTAATTCCGTGAGAGGAGTTACTGCCACCTCTTAGCATAGTGTGAATCAGATATGTTGTGATTTTTATGTACCACTGTAAGGTATCTTTGAGTATACATTTAATAGCTGTGTGGAAACCCCACTTTCAAGTATTACCATCCTCTGCTAGATCAAGGATGCCACAGATAGAACAGAGTGATGGATAAAGCACGGATATTACTGAGTTGCAGAGAAGGAGCTCTTCAAGTGGAGCAGGGGGCCGTGAACAGAGCAGAGATAGTGGGAAAAGTTTTACTCCGGCTAGGCAATTTTCTCTGTTAAGAAATTTCATATAAACAGGAAGAAAAATCCTTTTGTCTGCTGCACTTTTATTAGTGATTTTTGTACCAAACAACAACTGTTTTTGTTTTTTAACAAAGAAAGGTGAAGTTTCCTTTTGCTGTTACACTTCTAAGGCAATTCCACCCATCTAGCAGAAATGGATGTTTCACAGACCAGAAGAACAGACACATCCCATTTGGATCAATGAGAGAGTGTGTCCCACAGAGCAAAGGAGTGCTCAATTATGCATTTACATTATTCTCCAATATCCCCATGAGCAAGAAGGTCAAGAAAGGTCAAATGTGAGATCTGTACCATATTTCCTGTGATCCTATGAACACTTGTAAAACTGGAATTAGATGCTGAGTTATGGGGACTTTAGCTTGTATGTGGAGTGTTAAATTAGCAATTATATTTGGGATTGAAAAAGATATTTCTCTCACAGTAGTCTGGCAGAGAATCTAATACTTGTTACACTCCCTTTTATTGAGTGAGTAGCATGCATTATTAGGTAAGGTGACAGCTATACCAAACATGATAGCTTTCCTGTGTGTTGATGGTCTTTCTGTTCTTCATTCTCTATACATTGCACACATGGAGAAGGCTTCAGACAGGAGTGCAGACATGCAGTAAAGAGATGTGAGAGACAATCTAGTGCTATTGAATAACAAAGTGTATTTTAAAATTCCTCCCCATCATTTTCTTCTTCAAATGAGTCAGTTCCCACTTCCTCGTAGTCCTTCTCCAGTGCAGCCAAGTCCTCTCGGGCCTCTGCAAACTCCCCTTCCTCCATGCCTTCACCAACATACCAGTGCACAAATGCCCTCTTAGCATACATCAGATCAAACTTGTGGTCCAGCCTGGCCCAAGCCTCAGCGATGGCAGTGGTGTTGCTTAGCATGCAGACGGCGCGTTGAACCTGGGCCAGGTCTCCCCCAGGAACTACAGTAGGAGGCTGGTAATTGATGCCAACCTGGAAGGTGAGAGATAGAAGAGTGATTAAGAGAGACAACAAAAATAAACAGGATGAGAAGAACTGAGTAACCTCATAGTAATTGGGAAAATGGACGGCGGGAATCTTAAACCACATTATTGAAATTACTTTAATGGCAAATATCATTCATGTTGCCTTTTTTCTAGACTTCCTCATTCCCAGCTATAACTCATGAGAACAAGGGAGAGCAGCCAAAAATGGAGACAGGACCCCAAATGAAGACATTCAACCGAATGCCATTATAATTACCATTATTATTTTTTCTCTTTTTTAATGCACACTTGCTTCTTACTAGCTCTTTTTCACCTTGTCTGCTTACTGAGCCCAAAGCAATTTTGTATAAATTAATACAGAGAGTTTTTGACACCTAGAAATCTTCACATTCAGAACCTATGAATAGGTATGAGAAAAATGTAAAAAAAAAAATCATTATTGCTGTTGTCTCCATGCTCTGGAAACCATGCCTGACAGTGCTGCAATGTCGCCAGCAGGGGGAGAATAAGCACACATTTGATGACTGATGAAACTGGAGGCTCTCAAAAAAATTTGGTAAATGAAAGATGAGCGTTATATCTCTTTTTTTTTTTTTTTGCTTTAAAATAAACATTGATCGTCTAAAGGAGCAGTCTTGCCAGGTAACCTGGAAGCCAACTCTATAAGAGTGAAAGGGTATATCTACACTACCCTGCTAGTTCGAACAAGCGGGGTAATGTAGGCATACCGCACTTGCAAATGAAGCCCGGGATTTGAATTTCCTGGGCTTCATTTGCATAAACTGGGCGCCGCCATTTTTAAATCCCTGCTCGTTTGAACCCCGTGCCGCGCGGCTACACGCGGCACGAACTAGGTAGTTCGGACTAGGCTTCCTAGTCCGAACTACCGTTACTCCTCATGGAATGAGGAGAAACGGTAGTTCGGACTAGGAAGCCTAGTCCGAACTACCTAGTTCGTGCCGCGTGTAGCCGCGCGGCACGGGGTTCAAACGAGCAGGGATTTAAAAATGGCGGCGCCCAGTTTATGCAAATGAAGCCCAGGAAATTCAAATCCCGGGCTTCATTTGCAAGTGCGGTATGCCTACATTACCCCGCTTGTTCGAACTAGCAGGGTAGTGTAGATATACCCTTTCACTCTTATAGAGTTGGCTTCCAGGTTGAATATTTAAAAGGCCCTGTAAGTAAGATATGTAAACAGGACATGGGTAAAGAGGACAAAAGAGTAACTGAGGATTATACAAACACACTCACACTTCTAACCATTCCAGTCTCACCAATGGAAAATGTTCAAGAGTTCAAATCACAACCTGGGCTGCCATACTTGGCTATGTCCATTTAAAATACAGGGCCAGTGTGTCTTTGTCCCTCTCACCTTGAAGCCTGTTGGACACCAATCCACAAATTGGACAGCTCTTTTGGTCTTGATGGCCGCGATAGCTACGTTGACATCTTTGGGAACCACGTCACCACGGTACAGCATGCAGCAGGCCATATATTTTCCATGACGGGGATCACACTTCACCATCTGGTTGTTGGGTTCAAAGCAGGAACTGGTGATTTCTGCCACTGATAGCTGCTCGTGATAGGCTCGCTCTGAGGAGATGATGGGTGCGTATGTCACCAGGGGGAAGTGGATGCGAGGGTAGGGCACCAGGTTGGTCTGAAACTCTGTCAGATCCACATTGAGGGCACCATCGAAGCGCAGAGAGGCAGTGATGGACGAGACTATCTGGCTGATGAGACGGTTCAGGTTGGTGTAAGTGGGGCGCTCGATGTCCAAGTTGCGACGGCAGATGTCATAGATGGCCTCGTTGTCCACCATGAAGGCGCAGTCTGAATGCTCTAGGGTGGTGTGGGTGGTCAGGATGGAGTTGTAGGGCTCCACCACGGCAGTGGAAACTTGGGGGGCTGGGTAGATGGCAAACTCCAGTTTGGACTTCTTCCCATAATCCAGGGAGAGGCGTTCCATCAACAAGGAGGTGAAGCCAGAGCCAGTGCCCCCTCCAAAGCTGTGGAAAATCAGGAATCCCTGTAGCCCAGAACAGGCATCGGTCTGAAAAGCCAAACAGAGAACAAAAGGAATCAGTCTAAATCTCTGAGACTCCCATGAGTGCATCCTCAGATTGGAGCTAGAACGTCTGTCTTCAGAACCCAACACAGCATTCAACACACACATGTCTTCCTGGGAAAAGATTTATTATGCTATCCTTCAACAGCCCAACCTATGAAATATATAAATTTATAAATTTGTCTATGTAGTTTATCTTGGTCAAATTCATAGTTCCAGAGTCTTGGTTTATTAAAACAGAAAGTGAATAAATATTTAGCAAACTCCTCTTTCACCAAGATATATCCATCCTGTGTTGCTGTTCCCATGATAAAATTAAGGGTTTTGATCCAAACAACCTCCTTTCAAGAGTATATATCTCACCGATACACCCACAGTACTTTTTCTCACTTGGACCAATAATAGAATCTTCATGTATCTGACAATCCCAGCTCTGAAGAAAGTACACTATTGGGAGCAAAAGGAGCTGCTGGTCCCTTTCCTCCACAACAACCCCAGATCCCACTTCAAGAGTTCTGGCACTTACCAGCTTACGGATCCGATCAAGCACCAGATCAATGTTTTCTTTACCAATAGTATAGTGACCCCGGGCATAGTTATTAGCTGCATCTTCCTTTCCAGTGATCAGCTGTTCTGGATGGAAAAGCTGCCGGTAAGCACCAGCACGCACTTCATCTGTCCAAGAAAGAGAATCTGTGAGAGGCCTCGAATGCACACGCTCCAGTGTAGCTGCATTCTGTTGGAACACCTCTATATGGTTGCTAACTGGCAATGCTGCATGATGTGAGGCAGGGAAGACCTAAGTTTTGAAAACAACCTTGAGTCATATTCTCTTTCAAGACACTTGTAGAAAGTGTGGGTCTGGCGTGATATAAACAACTTGCCTCATTTCTTAATGAGCAGAGTTGTTAAGGTAAATTGAAGGTTAAATTGTAAATAGGGGATTGACAAGTACTTTTCCAGAATCAAGATGTCTGTTCTAGCTAAGATAAACAACAACACCGTGATGCTAAGGACTATGGACAAGAAAAACCTGGCCTGTAAAGATCAAGGTCCTGTACAGTATGTTCTGTTCACATGGGATTGTTTCCTGCAAATTAACCAATCCAATCGAAAATGTGTGATTTAATGTATAGCAAATGCAATGTAATGTGTAAATATATATAAAGGATGAGGTTGTCTGTGTCAGAGGCTTTTAACCTTTTCAGACTAGTGTATCCCTTTCAGGAGTCTGATTTGTCTGATTTTGTAAGTAACTATTTTTAAGTGAGGTGAAGCCCCCTAGTTTCACCTCACTGAAAAATATTTACTTACAAAATCAGAGGTAAAAAAGACAAAATGCCACAGCACCCTATTACTAAAAAGTTGCTTAATTTCTCATGTTTACCATAATTATAAAATAAATCAATTGGAATATAAATATTGTACTTACATTTCAGTGTATAATATATAGAGCAATATAAAAAAAGTTAGTCAGAATGAAATTTTAGTTTTGTACGACTTTGCTAGTGGTTTTTATGTAGCCTGTTTGTAAAACTAGGCAAATATTTAGGTGAGTTAATGTACTCACTAAAAGGTATGTGTACCATTGGTTGAGAACCTCTGGTCTGTGTAACTTTGGATGTGTGATAGGCCTTATACCCACCCTCAATGCTTGTGTCTGATCAACTCAGCATAGCTTTGCTGTAAGCCAAATAAAGGAGCCACTGAGAAATGAAATCCTGAGTCAAACTGGATGAAATGTTCTCCCAAAATTGGACCAGGTGTTCTGGAGTGGAAAAGGTATTGGCAGGAATCCCAACAAAAAGCTAAAGTGTCTCTCAATGATGAGGTGCTGAAGGTTCTGGTGGGAAAAGTGAAGGCTGTTAGTCAATTTAGGAAACTTGTGCCCAGTCAGAGAAAAACATCAATTGTCTTTTCTGACTAGAGGACAAGCCATCAGAAAAGAGAGAGATTTGCAGGAATAAAATTATGGTCTCCTCCCCATTCCCCAAAAAGGAGTCAGAGATTCGTAGGAAACCCACGCCTTCATTCTTCTGTCTCTGACCTGAGTTGGAGGAACACAACACTTAGACAACAATGGAAAACATCACAAATAAAACCAGAGTTAGGTACTCTTATGAAGAGCAGATGCCCAAACCAAGTGAACAGCTATTTAAGAAGGGAACCCCGTTGATCCAGCATATTGTAAGGTAGCACCATTATCAAGGTTCAGCCTAGCTGAAGTTTCTCCCCAACTGTCCTATAGGTGATTTCTCATATACTCGTGAATGCAATCTGGGCATTAAATGTCTTAAGTTGATTAATTTTAACCCAACCTAGTGGTTAGAGCAAGATACAAAGATGGAATAGTTCTCATGATACATTAGAGACTTGAGAGAAACAACACTGACACACATAAGAGTAGGGTCTTTTCCATTTTCCAGTGCTAATTCTATACTGACCTACTACAGTTGGTTCCAAATCCACCATGACAGCCCGTGGCACATGCTTTTCTGTGACTGTTTCACTGAAAAATGTATTAAAGGAGTCATCATTGTTTTTGTTGGACTGATTCTTGAAGGTGCCATCTGGCTGAATGCCATGTTCCAGACAGAAGAGTTCCCAGCATGCATTGCCAATCTGAACTCCAGCCTGGCCAACGTGAATGGAGATGCACTCACGCTGTAGAGAGAAAGAGAAGAAAGATCAGAAAAATCAAAGCACATAGCTCCTCCTCCATCTTCTTAACAGTTATCAGTGCCTGGTGCACTATTATTCAGACCTCTGAAATGAATCCCTCACCTGATTGGTTTGCATTCCCTAATGCCATATGCACAGCAAGAAGTGTGATGTGCAAGGACCCGTGGAAGTGGGACTTAGCCACTATTCTATGCCTGCAGTAAAAGTTCTAAATGTTATTTACAAATGCAAGGAAATAAAGAGCTAAACACAAAGAAAACTGGAAATTTGCAGACATGTATTCATGCCTGTACACACAAGATACATGTCCTTATGTACATATGTACACATACAAACATAAAAATATGCATGCACATCATATGCTACCTTGCTGTCATCCAGACTGTGATACATTCCAGTTGAGAAACATGTGCCAGATTAATTTATTTTTATTTCTAGCTGGGACCTGACACAGCACTGTGACATTTTCCAACCATATGTAACTCAAGAGGGGTGCAGTGTTTTCTGATCTCTTAACCCTCTTATGGCAGGCTTAGCTAGAGGCTGGGAAGAAATGACTTCAGGAAAAGATACGTAACTTTCCAAATGCGCAACTAATATTCCAGAGAGATTCCTACATATTCATGGATTTATACCCTGCATGTCCAGACATGACTAGTCAATTGTGTTCATCACATCTTATTGTGATCACATGCTTAAATATTTAATTATAAACATAGTTATTACAATAGCAGACAGGCACTTTAATTAGAGAACAGGAAAACAAAAAATAAAAATAGCCATCCCGTGCTAACCAAAACAAATGTTTCTTATTCCCATGGACTGCACAGGAGTATGAATTTCAAAGGTCCATCTGGGAAAGCACTGCTTTTGGGTACAAGTTCAAACAAAAGTGCATGTAGAAAGCCCTTTAGGACAATCTTAATTGCCATGACATGAGGTAAGGTGGGAGGTGGACTTTCTTATAAAAGGAAGCAATTCTAGATCACTCGGGGCTTTTAAGTACAGTTCCATTCTGAAATAACTCTGTAAACATAACATTATGAATCCATCTTTGTCAATGATTCCATGTCAAATTTGTTCAGTTTAACACATGAAAAGGTATTTTTCTATCAGCCAGTCCTGCAAATATATCCTGTGATCTATCAAGCTGTAGTCTTTACTTCAAACAAATCTTCTCAAATAATGGATTCCCTAAACTAAATATTCCTTCAGTGAGAGCTGAGACACTATTGTCTTCATAGGCTGAGATCTCTGTTACATCTGTGAAACCTCAATGAAGATTTTTTTTCTGAAGAGAACTGCATTTCAGAAACAAAAACAGGACTATATAGCACTTTAAAGACTAACAAGATGATTTATTAGGTGATGAGCTTTCATGGGCCAGACCCACTTCGTCTGGCCCACGAAAGCTCATCACCTAATAAACCATCTTGTTAGTCTTTAAAGTGCTACATAGTCCTGTTTTTGTTTCAGCTAGACTAGACTAACATGGCTACATCTCTATTACTATTCTGCATTTCAGAAGTCATCAATATTACCTTCAGTTGAATCCAGAAGTGCAAAGGAAGACTGAAAAGCAACTGTAAAAATCACATGGCAGGAATATATTATTAATGTCCCTGAGCAGTCTCCATGCCAGATTTGTTCAGTAAAAATAGCCAATGCCAACGCCATGCTGTAAACCCAGCCACATGTCTGACAAACTTTCACAAGCACCAAAGTAAGTAATAGATTCTCTAGGCTAAATTCTGCTGTCAGGGACACCTGTACAACCATGTAATCTTCCATGGAGTTGCACAAGTGTTTCTGAGGTTTTTATTTGAAGAAGATGGGGTTTCACTTACAATGGAGTAGCTGACAGTGTAATCTGGAGATATTTAAGCATCACAGAAGGCATATTTGGACCTGGAGAATCTTAATTACTGGTGATGTTGCACTGCAAAAAGAGACTCTAGCTTGTCTTTTAGATCCTAGCGTGAGGTTTACAGGGCTGAGAGAAAAACATCTCTTTCCATATAAACTGAACAAATATGCTGTTGACTCTAAAGAGAGAAGTATGCTGAGCCCTTTATAAGGTTATTACAGAGTGACGTACCAGAACCACATTTAAAAACCCAGCATTACTCTCTGGAACCTTTGGTGCAAAGCAGCAAACGCTCCACAGAGCCACTCTGCTCTCTCCTTCAAGCAACTGCAGGTAAATCAACCTTCTAAGCCTTTCCATTTCTTCACAGACTCTCACAACTGGGAGACTGCTCCAAGACATTTAGTTTTATGGCTTAATTTATGACTAATAGAGACTACAGATCTGCTCCCCTCCCCTCTTTTCAGATTTTTGTGTCTCTGTGATTTCCCTGCCCATTTCCTTTGAATATCTCAGCTCTGCCTTTGGAGTCAGAATTGCTCTGGTGACAGAGGTGATCTGTAGCAACCCCAGCTCTGCCTCATGCCAGCTACAACTTGGAAATGCTTTAACTTGATGTAAGGACAAAAATGTCAATAGAAACAAGAGATTGGGAACCAGGATTTTCAAAGTAGATGGCTTTTAAATAGATCGCTTTTAGCTTTAACAATGGAGAGCATAGTCCTTTCTCAGAGCCCCTAACATTGTAAACTGATCCCGATAGGGTATTTAAATCTGACCCTATTTTCAACTCATGTTTCAAATTCCTTCTTTAATAGTCTGGGGCTCACATTTGCTCTTAATACGTGTTATACAAAGCCCAAGTCAGTGGAAAGACTCCTTTTGATTTCAGTAGGCTTTGGATCAGGCCTTCTAGCCACCCTGTTCTTTGATAAAATCAGATCTTTTAGTGTTTGCAGGCATGTGGAGCACAGTCTGATTTAGATCTTGACAGTACTGAAGTAGATTTAAAATCCTCCAGCTGTACCTGCAGTGTTACATTGGAAACATACTTGCTGCAGCAAGCCCAGATGTATGGGCAGGTCCACCTAGGTAGATGAGCTGTCTGCACAAATGTGCATCTTTGTATGGTGGAAGTGGTCTCCAGACATCATAGCTCTGTATCAGTGAAGAATAATACAATTCTCCGGACTAAAATAAAAGCCTCTTCTAGATGTAGATTGGTATGCAAGATATGGGGAGGAGGGGCCTTGCAGGTGAATTTATAAAAGGCCCTGAGAAATTTTAACAAATGTACAAGAAATTCCCAATGATTAAATGCCTTGATTATTTACCTTTTTAAAAAGGAACAAACACCTAAAGTGTAGAGGCATGAACATCACAGTGTGTGCGAAGGTTAAGTTAATTAAAAACACTCACAAAAATGAGCATTCCATTAAGTATATTTCTAAAATTATTCCTTTTGAGTTTAGAGGACTCTACAAATGATGCATAACTATCAAATCTCCTAGATGAGAACCACTCTATGGCTGTGTCTAGACTACATGCCTCTGTCATCAGAGGCAAAAGCAAATGAAGCCGCGATTTAAATGATCGCGGCTTCATTTAAAATTACATGGCTGCCGCGCTGAGCCGACAAACAGCTGATCAGCTGTTTGTCCGCTCAGCGCGCTAGTCTGGACGCTCCCCTGCCGACATCAAAGCCCTTTGTCGGCAGCCCCCGTAAACCTCATCCCACAAGGAATAACGGGGCTGCCGACAAAGGGCTTTGATGTCGGCAGGGGAGCATCCAGACTAGCGCACTGAGCGGACAAACAGCTGATCAGCTGTTTGTCGGCTCAGCGCGGCAGCCATGTAATTTTAAATGAAGCCGCGATCATTTAAATCGCGGCTTCATTTGCCTTTGCCAAAAAAACAAATCTACATGGCTCCATTGACGTACCCATGTAGTTTAGACGTACCCTGAGTTACTAAAATGCAGACATGGCATCACAAGCAGAAGCCACTGAATAATTAACAGGTACAGAACAAAATTAAAATCTTCTTTGTAATTGCACTGATTTAACTGGAGCTCCACTTAAAATGTATTTACCTCAGTATATCTGACACATTCTGAACCTCACATGCTTCCCGTTTACATAGTGAGGTCAGCGTACTGTGACACAAACCACTGATGATGGCCGGGGGGGGCTCTGATGCCATAACTAATGCCACAAGTGCACCCTTGAAGTTGCCTTAGATCCACCCTGAAGAGGGAATTTATTTTAAGTCCAGGCACAAGCTGTCTGGACTAATCAGGTTTTAATTTCTGTATTTTTAGTCAGGTTGTTTTGCCTTTGTGATAGTTGAAGTGATGGATTGTCGAAAAAGTAGCACATGTCCATATATAAAGAAGATGAATGAACCCAAAAGTCATTTGTCCTGGTCCCTTTCATGCCATCTAGATTTCCTAGTTTGTGTGTGTATGTTCAAAGTGAACTCTGCCAGCATGGCTTTTTGTAAGGAAGAAGGATTGGATAGGAAGGGTTCATCCATCATCAGATTCCCTCTTCTTTCTTCTGCCCTCCTAAGATAGGGTAAGTTCCAAGGCTTAAGGGTTTTGATCTGCCACTTAAGGGATGGAACAGAATAAAAAAGCCCAGATGCAGCCCTCACCTATCAGCAAAAGGGGTGCCATAGTGCAGGGCTGGGACCAGGATCACCCTGCCCACCCATAGTGGCACAAGAAGTGCTGACCAAGTCCAGTGGCATCCACCTCTAGTCTCATCCCCACTCTCTCCACCCTAAATTGAGATACTGAAGCAGAACGCAATCTGAATCCTCCACAATAGGGCAGATACCTCCCTGACTCACCCCACCCCCAGAATTCTCCTGTTCCCTTGACAAGTGTGGAGTTCCCCCAGGCCCCCCTTACCATGATGTAGCTAGTGGTGTTCGCTTCCCGTCTCAGTCTTTGATAGTGCTCTCTCTGCCGTTGTATCACTCTGAGCTTTTAGGTAGTAAGGGGCCTGGGCCATGCACCAAACAGCTGCTACTATCCTTCAGTGTCACAGTGCAGTGTAGGGAGTAGGTCACAATCCTCCCACCTCTGCCCTATTACATCACCAACTCCTTACTAACACACGCACACAAAATCCATCCCTACCCACAGTATCCCATATTCTTTCACTATGAATCCCTACATACACACTCCATCTGGGTGCACCCAGAATCAGCCCACACCCACTAGCCATTAATTCCTATGCACATTCACAATTCAAACCCTACACCACAGTAGTCAGCTATTCTCTCTGCATTCTGTATTCTTTCACAAATAACTCTGGTACGCACACAAGAATCATTCCTAATCTCCAGTGTCTGAAAACAAGAAAGTGTGAGAGAATAAATGAGTGGGAAAGAGGAACAGAAAAATAGAGCAAGAAATAGAGAGAATACAGACAGTTACCCTTTGGTAACTGTGCTTCATCACAGAGTGGTCTTAGCTGCTAGCCAGTCCTCTCTATGGCTTCCCTTCTATCCTTGCCCCTATGTGTCGCGCCTCTCATGTTCTAATTTACTTTTACTGTGTCTCTTTGGATATGCGAGCAGTTGGAACATCTGCAATGCTATGCAACTCAACATGAGGGCCACAGTCCAACTGACCTGCCCAAACGGAGAGCTCAATCACTTTCATTGCAGTGTTTATAGTAAAGAAGTGTCTGGATGCACAGATATACAGAGAGAGGTACTTGCTTACAGTTACTGCTTTTCTGTCTGCTGTTTCCACTCCAGGCTGAGCATAGGAAAGAGGACACCTGTCTCAGAGTCAGAGCTCAGGTTACAAGCAGTACAACACAGTTAACTCCTTAGGATCTGAAGACTCTACATTCCCTCCTTTCTGTAAGACCATATGATTTACATTTAACATGACATTTAAATACATAATTCTTAATCTTTAGCTTGAGAGTAGACCACCTTCAACCCAATACCAGTTAGTAAATTATTCTGCCTGTGTTGGCACCCAGCACCTAACTTTATCTTCCTTTAATTCCACTCCTTTTTTTTTTTTAGCTATTTAAGGGGATTTCTCATCTGTTTTGATCAGTTCCCTTTTGTCTCTGGTCCACATTGTCTACATTTTGGAACTCTACATAATTGTCCAAGCCTCCTTCCCCTGGTTTGACTAGGGAGAGTTATATCTCTGGTTCAACAAATGTTTTCACAAAGGAAGAATTCCATAGGAGATTTTTCCTTCTGTCAACTTTTCTAAAGCTACTTGATTCCCATGCTTTTCCAGCAAACAATAAGGCTGAACCAGTTCCAAAGCTGAAGAATAGTTAGTTCTGATGATCATGTTCCAATGCAAGTTGGCTAGTCTCAAGATTCTAGATCTAACTTGCTGTTGTGCTGACTGCTAGCCAGTACAGGTCACACCTCAAGGAAAAGTTAAGAGTTTCAAGTCACTTGCTAGAACAGAACAAAAGGGGATGTTATTACATTACCTATTCTTGGCATGTAAGTACAATTGGTTTAAATTCATGAAAGCGAGGATACAGTGCCACCCTGACCACCTAGGCAAACTAGGCAGTCGTGTATGGTGCTAGGCTTTAAGAGTTTTAAAGTGCCAAATTAGATGGAAGTGATATTTTTTCTATTTAAAAAATATATGAATATGTTATCTCTCATAAACAAAAGTGTCAAATACTGTACATGTAAAACAGTGCATTGTTGCCACGTCAGAAGTTGAATTATATTATTTATTTCATATTGTGGAACAAGGCTGCGTATGTAAATACCGTTAAAATGTGTCACGACATAGTTTCAAACGAACATGGCCTTGGTTTGCTTCATAGAGGAGAGGTCTGGCAGTTCAATCATTTTCAGTATTTCAGTGTTGGCCAGTCATCCAGTTGAGTCAGTGTAGTGAAAGCCAGTCAGCAACCTGCAACGGCTGTTCTGCCCTGTTATGAGCCATGATCCTGAAGATTCTCTGCCCGCAAAGAATTTGTATTGCATTGGACTTGAAACATTTGGTAAGAGTTTTTAACAAGATTGTAAAAGGAGAATCACAAGTAATTGTAAGATTAAGATTGTGTATTTATTGTAGACAATTACTATTAGGCTATGTCTAGATGTCAGCCGACGGTCAGGGCTCCCTATATCTGTCCCTTAAGACCGGCTGAAGTTCTTTTAAATTGTGCCTGGTTCTGTTACAGCAACTGAAGGAGTCAGGTTAAAACTTAAACAGTTACAGGTTTATTTGAAGAAGCTTATAAATCATATGGTTGCAATGGCTATTGTTCTATTTCTTAACTACTAGCAAAATATAGATCTTAAAAATGGTTACAAAGAAGATAAAGATAGAAAAATAGAAATAATGGTACCAAGTAACAGCTTACTCTTTCTATGTGTACACCTAAGACAGAAGACCACATCCAGGTACAATTTTTACCCCCTTCTGTGCCTCTCGACTCCAGCATGTCAGGCCAGGGCCGGTCCCTCAATTCCTAGGAAAGAACGAGGTGGGCGTCCCCATAGAACCACGGGAGGTCAAACACCTAACCCGACCAGCAGGTAGAGGGTAGAATGACACTCAAAGTGAGTGT